TCTTGGCTTTGCGCGGCCGCAGCCAGTGTACAGCTCGTTGGACAAGCTCTCTGCAGGGAGCAGCTGGCCTCGGTGCAGGATGGGGAATCCACTGGGAGCTGTGTCCCCCTTAGTGGGAAAACCGAGTGCTGGGTCCCTTCCCACCAGTCTGGCAGTAGCCCCTGCAAAACAAGGTGCAATAATCCCTGTAACTTGTCTGCAGCGGGTGGCCGAGACGCAGAGACAGTCAGCTGCAGGTGATGCCCCGTGTCGCTTGTCCTGGCGTGAGTGTAGCAATGCGTGGTTTGCCAGGCTTTATCCTGGTGCAGCTGAAGCCCATCCGAACCTGGGGACGGGCAGTTGTGGGGCTCGCTGGGGCCCTGAAACCCATGGAGGGTATGGGGTTGTGGGCAGGGCAGGGCAGTGGTGCGGCATGCAGAACCTGGCCAGAGCTGGCCACGAGTTTGGGACCAGGGCTCCCGGCTCATGTTACTTGCATCACAAAGTGGGTTTTTTTGACTCTGGTTTGGCTAAAACCAAACAGAAAAAGTGATTGATGCTGGGGGTTGGGGAAGGAAAAATCCATTTCCATCCTGAGAACCGGGCACAGCCAGTTCCCACATCTGCTCCCCTGGCCGAGGCTCAACCGTGCAGCCTGTGGCCTGTGCCGGGGAGCACAGCTGCCTCCTAACATGGCAATGTTGTGGCCCCTGTTCCCTTGGCGTGGGCTGGATGGGGTCCTGTGGAGTCGGTGGGGTAGGGAGCCATGGGGGGAGTTGGGTGCGGGGCTGGTACGGAGCTCCCCATATCCTGCCAGGGCTCGGAGTGGGTGGAGGCTGCGCAGCACATAAGCAAAGGCTTGGTTGCTGCCACATCACACCCGGGGCTCCCGGCCAGACCCGGCAGCTCCAGCGGAGGCCGGGAAGGGGGCAGAGCTCCCTGCCCTGCACCTGGGTTTGCTGGGGGATGTGAAGGGCAATGGCGAGCCCGAGGTGTCCCGTTGGGGCTGGGAGCTGCGAGAAGGGAGATGAGCACTCGACCTCCGGCATCGCCCCGTGGCTGCCCCGCTTCGGGAGAACAGCATTAGGGGCTCACGCTCCCTCTCCCTCCTGTACCCCACAGGGTAGCTGAAAAGGAGCCCATCAACAAAATGTCTCTCCACAACCTGGCCACGGTCTTCGGGCCAACACTGCTGAGACCCTCAGAGGGGGAGAGCAAGGGGCACCTCACCCTGGCCTCTGACATCTGGTCCCATGATGTGATGGCCCAGGTAAGAGCTGAGCTGGTAGCATGGGGCCGCAGCCGCTCGGGCAGGGAACGGAGGGGTTTACCTGCCTGTCTGGGTAGTTTTGTCACTCTTTGCTGGATGTGGCTGCACAGGGACAAACTGGGACGTGACATCTCTGCCCCTTTCTGGCCTAACGCCCCCCATTTACCTGCTACAGGTCCAAGTCCTTCTCTACTACCTGCAGCATCCTCCCATCTCCTTCACGGAGCTGAAACGCAACACACTTTATTTCTCCACGGACGTGTAGCCCGCAGGGAGAAGGCACCAGCTGCAAACACTCCCAGGTCCCCGCTGGGGGACACGGACTGGATCGCAGCCCCCCAGGGAGACCGGCCCCGACCCAGGACGGTGCCGCCTGCAGCTCCTGTACAATCGCGAACCAGTGGCCCGGTCCCACCCCAGGCACCGTGCCTCTCTGTAAAGTAGTCGTGTCTTATGTCCCTTCTTGTGTTCAAGAATTGTTTTTATGTATATTTGTTCAACGGAAGAGGTAGTGACTGACAAGGGCTGTGGACACAGGCTTCTCCCTTGGCTAGTTTCCTCCTGGACTCCTTTCTGCCCGCTCACTCCTACCAGGTGCCCCTTGTCTCGCTCAGCTCGAAGCCTGCAGCATCCCACGAGTGCCTGTTTCGCTGCCCAGCTCCCCTGCCCCATGCCTGCATGTGCAGCACCGGCTCGCTTCAGAGGCTGGGAGCTCATGGGCTTCCCTCCCCAGTGACGGCGACGACCAGCTCTGCTTTGGCATGCTGCCTGCGCAACCATTGGACCCTGTGCCTGGATCCTGCTCTGGCCCGAGCAAACCTGCGACCACGAGAGCCAAGGAAGCGGGGTGCTGCTTCCTCCTCGCCACGTCTCTTCGGGGTGCTGTCAGGCCAGTCCCCTCTACAGCCCTAATCCTGTGCTTTGCCTCTGTGCATGTAGCGTGGCGGCTACTTCCCTCGCTGTATCTCACCTCCGAGTAGCGTTTTGGGATAACCCATCACACAAGGCTGGAGCGAGAGGTGCTGTGCTGGTCTCGATCCACGGCAGGTTTGAGGGATGGCCAGCCGGGCAGGTCTGCTTCCTCCGCACAGGCTGACCCCAGGTCTGCATGCTGGCACTGATGGGTTCCCATCAGGGCACATGGATCCCAAAGTTTCCCCAACAAGCCCTGGTGGGATGGGGAAGAGGGTCCCTGCCATTTCTGTACACCTCATATCTCTGCCATAGCCCCCGCCAGCCCAGTGCTGCT